GTAGAAATAGTGTTAGAAATAAGCTGTAGGAATGTAGAAATAAGTGGTAGAAATAAGCTGTAAAAATAGAGAAATAAGTAGAAATAAGTTGTAGAAATAGAGAAATAGGTAGAAATAAGTGGTAGAAATAGAGACCTAAGTGGTAAGAAATAAGCGGTAGAAATAAGCAGTAGAAATAAGCTGTAGAAGTAAGAAATAGGTAGAAATAAGTGGTAGAAATAGAGAAATAAGTAGAAAATAAGCGCTAAAAATAAGCTGTAGAAATAAGTAGAAATAAGCGCTAAAAGTAAGCTGTAGAAATAAGTAGAAATAAGTGGTAGAAAATAAACGGTAGAAAATAAGTGAATAGGAAGATGTAAAATAAGGTAGAAATCTCCCAGGTTTTGTTTAAGCCACTGTAAAGCAGCAGATGGCTGTGGTGGTTTATGTTTAAGGAAGTAATTTTTGTTTTAGACCGAGATTGTAAGCTCTTGCCGCAGTTGCATTGTTTCTAGGCTTTGGTTATCTTTGCTTGTGCAACCAGATAGCTCCCTGGGACTTCGGGTCTGTGTGAGACGCAGACTCAGAGTTGGAGGTCTCCAGCCCCCCGAGGGTTGCTCGTTTCCATGCAGCAGCGGATAAAGAACAAGAACTTCCACCGGCGTGGACAGGGCTGATGTGACTGGGACTGATGCGGACTCAGTGCCGAGGTCAACCTTCCAAACAGCCTGATCCAGGGGACTAGTTTTGCATCAACGGCATCTTTGCCTCGCCAAGGTATCAGCATGGAGTCAGCTGAAGAAGATGGCGACTGAGGCCAAGCAGATGTTAGAAAAGCAAGTGGGAGCTATGCTAGTGTTGGTGAACTGTCAGTTTTCTGTAAAATCTTGAGGAGCTAAATCTAAGGACTTTGAGTAAGATATCCTGAAAACGTTAACATGTTTGTAGTTTGGTTTTGCACTGGTATTGCTTTGTTATTAGCCAGAGTTTTGTTCTCGTTAACATTGCTGTCTCTATAGTTTTGTTAATAGCCAGAAGTTTGCTGTGATATTTTGATCATGCTGAATAATCTGTTTAGAGTTTTTTGGATAACGTAAATAGGTGTGTTTAAAAACAAAAGCAGCCGAAACCGGTTTGGCTTAGTGGGTAGAGCGTCGGCCTGCGGACTGAAAGGTCCCAGGTTCGATTCCGGTCAAGGGCATGTACCTGGGTTGCGGCGCACATCCCCAGTAGGGGATGTGCAGGAGGCGGCTGATCGATGTTTCTCTCTCATCGATGTTTCTAGCTCTCTATCTCTCTCCCTTTCTCTCTGTAAAAAATCAATAAAATATATATTAAAAAAAAAAAAAAAAAAAGGCAAAGGGGGAGATATGGGGCGCGGCTACAGTGCTTTGGCCAGGTTCAAGCCTGGACTAATGAAAGGACAGGGTCCTCTCACTGCCACGTGCAAATCCCAGCTGGAGGACAGGGCCCTCCCAGCACAATCATAGCCAACGGCTGTGGCTGTGAGCTTGAACCTATGGTTCGAACACGTGGCCCCACGTGCCTTGTGATAGACCTCGGGTGCATGTAGTTGAGTAGGGTTGAGACTCACGAGAATGCTGTAAACAACGTGATCACGCCCCTGCCTTGCCTCGTGGCAGCTGCTATAAAACAAAGACACGGCTTGTGGGCGCTGGCGCTGTCTCCTCATCAGGGAGCAGTGTCCCACCGAGACCCAGCTTTCATTCTCTCATCTTTCCTTAATCCTTTCCCCCCCCACTCAGTTTACCTTTGGCCGCAACATATGGCGTCCGACCAGGGACTGAGTTTTGGCCGCAACAGTTCTGACACAAAATGCATACTTGGCCCTTCGTTATCTGCAGGTTCCACACACGCACTAATTGCAGATGGTTTTTTTACACTTACACCACGAACTCCCAGGAAGTGGGTACCATCACTGGCTCCTTTCCACTGGCTCTCAAGTGAACTCTGGGTGGAGCAGGCTGACCCTCCCTCCAATTGAACCCAGATTTTACAAGGGTCCTGAGCGTCCTTGAGCTTTGGTGCCCATGAGGATCCTGGAAACAATACTCCAGGGCAGAGGGAGACCTTACCCTAAAATTCACATATGCAGAACCCCCAAAACAGGTGGCAATCCTTGAATTCATACCCATTCTGTGTAGTAATATAAGGACCGACACTATGTGACAACTTGCACCGCAAGGGCCCAGTGAGGTGTGGACCCCGTGTGCATGTTAACCATGCTGATTTGACCCTCTGGGCTTGGAAAACTAGGTAACTGCTTTAAAAGGCTCAGAATCAGACTTAACCACACACATATACCCTACCCATGCCGTGTGCCACTACCTAAAGCTGAAGCCAGCTTGCCAGGACCAGATAAGGACTTGAAAACATTGGGTATGTGGATACAAGGCAACCCATTTGGATGAGACTAACTTAAAAGTCATTTGCATATGCTCAGATATAATGGCATATGGAGATCACAAGATGAATGTTTAATGCCAACTATTATTCGTTCAACAATTGTTAACCGGAGCACCCCCCTCCCAGATGCCCTAGAAGTTTACCCTATTTAGACAAACAACTAGATCCACTCAAACACAACCAGAGTGAGGGATAAAAAGAGCCTTTATTTTTAAGGATGGAAATGATTATTTGAAAATTTAAACAGCCAGATTATACAAGAAATTGCTTGAAAATTCTCGTCTTCAAAGAGTTGGATTCCTGTAGGGGAAAAAAAGTGAGTTTATTTGATGGGAATGAATATGCACTGTGAGCTTACAAGGTGCCAACCTTTAACCCAATTACACCCCTAGGTTTTATGTTTGTCAGTAACTTTGAATATTGATTAGTTAACTGGCATTAAAAAAGGTTGCTTAGGGTGTACAAATGGTTATATACCCGAAAGTGGGAAGATACCTACCATTATACATGCTTTGTTCTTTCTTTAGACCTGAAAAAAGAAAAAATACGCTTTTTTTGAACAATTGAGTTATTCTTCCCTTTCCCATGTTTAGAAATCCTTGTGATCCCTCAGACAGTTCCTTCTGGAACAAACTTTCCTCTTCTCCCCCAGCCAGCCCCAGTGGGTTCACCTTTACAGGCTCTGGGACAAGGACAGGAGGTAAGACATGTGAAGGTTTCCTCACTGGGAAATTGTAGCTTGGCTTGCACTTTACCTTTGAATTACTCACCTCAAACTTCAGACTGAAGTTGAGCAGAAATACAGATTACACTTCCCCTGCAAAAGAATGAATGGGAACTCAGTCAACCAGCCCTAGGCACACCTGTATAGGCTGCATAGGTTTCAAAACACACTTTTCAGAAACGAGGTGGTCCAAAGAATGTCCTATTAGCTGTACTGCCTACTCAATCAACTTCCCAGGGTCACTTTTCATTCCAAGGCAAGCTCACAGCTCAGAAAATACCTTTCAGTCACAGTGATCAGACTGGGGCGGTATAAACTCATCACTGGTGAGGGATCCCAAAGTGCGAAACTGGCACATTTTATATAGCAGCCATAGATTGAGGTTACAAAGAGGCTTACCTCAAATCATTCCTGGGCCCCAGAGGAGGTGCTGGACCTGAAACAAACAAGACAGAGTCAGCAGCATGCACTTCCTGCATTAAATGCAGGCTTCAGCCAGTTCCTAGAAAATCAGATTTCCGAGTCTCAACAGCAAGTCATCAGCCGAACGAGATTCCATGTCAGTCATCATATATACAGGCCTCAAGGGCATTCTCTACCCGGCATGTTGCACATATGGAAACCACTCACCTTTGAGCGGACAAGCAAAGCAGGTCACTGTTACCAGCACCTAGAAAGACAAGGCTGTGGTCAATGAAAATGCCAACTCGGTATCCCCGCCGCCACCATCTTCTCCAGTTTCTCAGGTGTTCAAATGTTTTCATTATGTAAGTCATAGTGAGCTAGTTCGATTCATCATAGAAACTGACGACTTGGCGGCATAAGCCTGACAATCAACTCACCTTTTAAGTTTGGAGGTTTCTCAGGAGCATACAGGGCCCAGCCGCTCCTGAATGAGATCACACAATTAGCAAAAGACCTAAAACAGCCGCAGTGATTCTAGCTATGGTTAACAGGCAGGACCAAGAAAAACTAAGCAACGCTATCTCTCTGTTGTACCTCAGACAGTTCCTTATGGAACAGGTTCTCATCCTCTCTCCCAGGTAGCCCCAGTGGGTTCACCATTACTGGCTCTGGGGCTAGAACTGGGGTAAGACAGGATGTTTGCTCTCCTCACTGGCACTGGACTCTGCAGCAAGTTACAACAGTTACACATACTCACCACTGCCACCTCTTTCCATGTGTTCAACCCTGGGCAGATCAATGGTGACCTAGGAGGCAAGAGATCAAGAAATGTCACTACAAGCAACGAGAAACCAGAAAGCTAAATGGGTCAATTAAGGCTCTGGTGACAAAAACAAAACACGTTGCCAAGTTATTCACTGGATAATGGGTTCACGTGTTAGTTTACCTCAAGATTGGAGTACTGGAAGAAGCTACTTACCATTTAGATAGGCGAATAGATCATCATCAGGACAACCTATAAATGAAGAGTCAATTATTACTAAAAATGTTAGAATGGAGTAAGATTTCATCATTGAACAGAAACTGCCATCAGAACTCTAACATGCTATTACCTGTCGTACCTCACAGAGCATCAGTGTAACAATTCAAATCATCTGACAGTGATGTGTGGGTGAGGGGGAATATCACACCCCCAAGAACCAGATGTACCACCGGGGTGTTCTCTCCCTCCCCAGCACAATCATTCCAGGAGAAACCAGCAGGAAGGACCATTTGCTCTCCTGGTTGTGGGGGACACTGGAGAGAGAACATCTCAATGCCCCATTTAGAGAATTACCTGTGATCACCCTCGGAGGCAGCTGAATCCGTCAGGACCGATGAGATGCTACGGACAGAAAGAGGAGGCATTACATACATTACATATACCCAGGAACAGCCATTCAAAGCCCGTGAAGACTCCTGGCCGACTTCTCAGTGCTTAGATGACATCACTTGTAAGTTCAGTCATATGCTTGTCGTTGTATGTTCATCACGGAGTGGCCAGCCCAAAGGGACACCCATCTGCACACTGCGCCCCTACCCATAATGGCATAATCCTGTGTACCCACCGGAGCGCCGCTGCAAGGACTGATCTGCACGGGGATAGGTCTGGTCCCATCCTCCAACCGGTACGAGCTCTCTGGGTCGGAACCATACCTGGAAAACAGCGAAGAGCACCCTTCACTTAGGTTTCATACCTTGCAGCCTCGTCTTGTGCGCGTGCCCTAACACTTCCGAGCTAAACAGACCCCAGGCATGAAAATACAGCCCAACTTTTGCTGCGGATGGTGCTACTCAGAATGTATACACTTCTCCACCAATCCATCAGAAAGAGAGAGTTCGGCTTTTATCATCCCCGTAGCACACCGCACAGGACTCGCATGCACGCAGCAGCGGAGGAGTCGCCGTGAAGGGCGGCCTTCAGCACTTACTCGAACAAGAGGGATGTCCCGGGTTCTCTAGCGTCCACACGTGCGCCCGAACCCTGCAGACAAGGAGGACGTTAGGTCGATATTGCACACTGCCCAACGCTGTGGCCTCCGGGGCGCCCACTGCACCGGGGGTGCAAGGCCCGTCTCAGAGTGTCTTATCCTCACGGGACTCGGTACAGGTCTGTGAAAGGTGCTCATCACAGAGAAGGCCGCCGGCACCGCCCGCCATCGCCATTTTGTCCTTCACGAAGCCCTGCGGTAGCTTCGAGGCCTGGAGGCCATGGCCAAGTCGCCCCATTTGCCCTCCCGCCCCCCCAAACAGACATAACACAGAAGACGGCCTAAGTCCCACCACGCTCACGCGGGCATTCCTCCCCGACGCAGAAAGAACACTCACCAGAGCAACAGAGAAAAGACAAGACCCAAAAGCCTCAGCGAGGCACTTAAATACCCTCTCGCAGAGGCCCACGGGACTGGAGGGCGGGGCTGCGGCGGGCGCACGCGCACGGGGAGAGCGCGTGCGAGCCTGGGGAGTTGTGGGTAGAGATTTCCAGACAAAGAGGACGCGAGCGCGCGCCCCCAGCGGCGCGAAAAGCCGCGCATGCGCCTTAGGGCAGCGCGCCGGCACGCCTTGGGGCGCCGCGGCGCGGTCTGTACCGCCGCCTTCCGGTGGGACTGGAGCCGTGAGGCCGGGGGCGGCTTCCCGCGCCTTGTCGCTGCGTCCGGGTCAGAGCCGCCCACCCCCAAACCCTTCCCTGAGCTCCCCTTGACCCCCCGCACCCTAAACCCGTGTGCAGGGCCCACCTCCATGGATCCCGAACCTCCGGAGCCCTCGGCCGGGCCTGGTGCGCAGGGTGCCGGCGCGGGAGGCGACTCAGGTACTGCAGGTCCCTGCATGGCGCCGTTTCGGGAGTGAATCCGGGCGAGTCTGCGGCAGGGTCTGGGCTTTCCGGCCCGGCCCGGTTCTGCTACGATCTTGATTTGTGGCTCGGCTCGCGTTGGGAGCACGTTTCAAGCACACTGCATGAATTGAGGAGTCCTCCCAGGTCCCCGGGTCCCCCTGTTACCGGGGAGGGGCCCCTGCAGCTCCCGCCGGGTGGCCGGGTGGTTCCCGCCACCTGGAGACCCGTCACTGAGATCTGCCGCGAACACCGACCGTCCGTGCGCGTTTTATAAGCATGCAAAAGCTCTTGGCATGTGCTCTGCCGCACGACCTCACTTCCTATCCAGCCCCAGGGAGAAGGACTGAGATAAGGTTATAGATGGGGAACCCGAGACCCAGAGCGGTTAGCGGACTTGCATGGTGTTATCCCGCTAAGAAATAGAGCGCCAAGGTGCCAATCCAGGCCGCCTGATTGCAGACCTGCTCTGGACATCCATGCTGGACCGCCGTCATCGCACACTGTCCTCCAGGTAGCGGGGGACCAAGCAGATACCCAGGAAACAAATGGAATGTTCGGGTACTGTTTCTCAAGCTTCCCTCATTAATCTCTCTCCGCAGGCTCCTTAAAAAGACATTTTCCCTTCTAATCCCCCCTCCCCATAAAAATTTCTTTTAAATATATATATATATATATATATATATATATATATGATATATATATATAAAGTATATATATATATTTTTTTATTGAGGAAGGGAGAGGGAGAGAGAGATAGAAACACCAATGATGAGGGAGAATCATGGATCGGCTGCCTCCTGCACGCCCCCTACTGGGGATCAAGCCTACAACCCGGGTATGTGCCCTTGACTGGACTCGAACCCGGGACCCTTCAGTCCAGCAGTCGCCAACCTTTCGGGACCTCACGGACCACCAGTGGTCTGCAGACCACCGGTTGGGGACCGCTGGTCAGTCCACAGGCTGATGCTCTATCCACTGAGCCAAACCAGCGAGGGCCCCATGAAACTGTAATACCACTGACACACTGTATCTGCCCTTGTGCTGTGGCCTTTTGGAGGGCCAGAAACCTTTTCAGGATCTGAGCTTTTCCTCCTCCCCTTCCTCTACCCAAATCCCATTTTCACTTCTTTAGGGGCAATGTGGTCCCCATGTGTCCCAGGATGATAGAACAGGTGACAGTGTACAGAATATTGGGAGAATTCCAGTTTGAGCAAAGTTATTATGGACGAATGAATTCATTTGCTCAATAACCATGAAGTGCTTTGTTCAAGACCATGGAGCAGGAAATGTATGGGAAATCCAGAAGTCCCAGGGTAGGCAGGCAGGGCTAGGGAGGCTGTATGTGGGAATGGAGATTGGAAATGCTCTATGGAGTGGAGTGTCTGAATCTTGAAGGGTAGATAGACTGACCCGGGAGGAAATTAAAGAAACAGTTTGAACACAGACTTGGAGGAGCTGGAAAAGGGAAGAAAGTGTATGGATAGAATTCATGAAATGTGGGCGGAAGGGAATAGTAGAATATAAAACTGGGAAAGATTTTCCGGGGAAAGCCAGGGGAGGAGGGCCTGGATTGCAAAACCAAATCATTGAATTATAGATAGGAAGAAGAAGAAAAAAGGCCATGGAAGTTTTTGAGCAGGTGGTGATGACAAATTGAGGAATAAGATGGAGGCAAGGACATTAATGAGATTGTCTCAGTAGTTTAGGCTGCAGGTAAGTGGATTCTGTACGAACAAGTGAAACGGCAGTGGAAACGCAAAGGAGAGGATTTAAGTCAGGGTCTCCCTCCAACTCACACCTACAGGAATGTCAGGAATGCAGATGATCAACATGAACTGGGTGGGGACCCTGGAGAGCTTAGCGGCCCTTTCTTAGCTCCAGCTGATTGTTGCCCTGCTTGAGTGGTCTCCAAAAAAATATGACCAAGAGGTTTGAGAGATCCAACATTGTATATTTGCCTACTTTAAGTGTTTCTTTCTAACTTCCATTTAAAAAAAAAGTGTTTCTTTTTAAAAGAAAATATTTGTATTGATTTCAGAGACGAAGGAAGAGGGAGAGAGAAACATCAATGATGAGAGAGAATCATTGATCTCGGCTGCCTCCTGCAAGTCCCCCACTGGGAATCGAGCCCACAATGTGGGCTTGTGCCCTTGACTGGAATCGAACCTGGGACCTTTCAGTTCGAGGACCAGTGCTCTATCCACTGAGCCAAACCAGCTAGGGACAACGTCCGTTTTTTTTAAAGCATATTCTGTGAGCCAATCAAAATATGTCTATGGGCCAAAGGTGGTTAGGACTGAGTTTGCAGCCTCTTGTGTAGTGACATAGAATCCACTAGAAAAGGGGGAACGTAAAGGGGGAGTGTCAAACACGGGATGCTCTTTTTTGTAAGCTATAAAGGGGGTGAAGGGAATAGGTGCCAATGAAAACCAGTGTTCTTGGCAGTTGGAGATTATAGGTGACTTTCATTTAACATTCTACCAGTATTTGTTGAGCACCTACTAAGCCCAGGAGATAAAACAGGGAACAAAGCAGACAGTACCTTTATGCGCCCTTGGAGTTTATATTCTGGTGGGTAGACACAGAGAAACAAACAAATGAGTAATATGCCAAGCCCGGCTGGTGTGGCTCAGTAGTTGAGCATCGACCCATGAATCAGAAGGTGACGGTTTGATTCTAGGTTAGGACACATGCCTGGATTCCCAGTTCGGGGGCACGCAGGAAGCAGCTGATCAATGATTCTCATCATTGATGTTTCTATCTCCCTCTCTCTGAAATCAATAAAAACACATTTTAAAAAAATGACAACAGCCAGCATGACAATAGCCGTCTAGTGTAAATGAATCAAAATTATACGTATTTTTTTGTCAGATCAGCAAAAAATATATATTTTTTGGTGTGCCGCAGGATTTTAGCAATTAGTTTACGTGTGCCATGAGATGGAAAAGGTTGAAAATCGCTCTCGGAGGATGCAAGCTGCTTCCAGGCGTTTTTCTCGGCATCCTTTGCCCCCTCCTGGCAGCAAGAAGCACTGCCGGGAGTAAGGCTACGCAAATGCACCGTGCTCTGCTGGGAGCCGGGAGGAGGACATTCACCTCTACGGCAAAAATTCAGTTTGAGACCAGAATTTCCTTATTTCCTGAGCTGTCGAGGAATGTACCACTGGGGAGCTCTCCTAGGGAAGGATTAGACTGGAGTGGGGGAGAAATGAAAATGCAGAATTTTATATAAGGAACAGCTTTCAGGCTGCTTTTGTTTTTGTTTTAAATATATTTTTATTGATATAGAGGAAGGGAGAGAGAGATAGAAACATTAATGATGAGAGAGAATCATGGATCGGCTGCCTTCTGCACAACCCCTACTGGGAATTGAGCTCGAAACCTGGGCATGTGCCCTTGACCGGAATCATCCTGGGACCTTTCAGTCCGCAGGCCGACGTTCTATCCACTGAGCCAAACCGGTCAGGGCCAAGAAAAACTTTCTTTTTTTTTTTTTTTTAATTAAATCTTTATTGTTCAGATTATTACATTTGTTCCTCTTTCCCCCCCCATAACTCCCCTCCTCCCAGTTCCCACCCCACCCTCCGCCCTCACTCCCCATCCACTGTCCTCATCCATAGGTGCACGATTTTTGTCCAGTCTCTTCCCGCATCTCCCACACCCCTTTCCCCCCCAAGAATAGTCAGTCCATTCCCTTTCTATGTCCCTGATTCTATTATAATCACCAGTTCATTCTGTTCATCAGATTATTTATTCACTTGATTCTTAGATTCACTTGTTGATAGATGCATATATGTTGTTCATAATTTGTATCTTTACCTTTTTCTTCTTCTTCCTCTTCTTAAAGGATACCTTTCAGCATTTCATATAATCCTGGTTTGGTGGTGATGAACTCCTTTAGCTTTTCCTTATCTGTGAAGCTCTTTATCTGACCTTCACTCCTGAATGATAGCTTTGCTGGATAAAGTAATCTTGGTTGTAGGTTCTTGGTATTCATCACTTTGAATATTTCTTGCCACTCCCTTCTGG